TCGCGCCACTTTCAAACGGTGGCACGTGAGAGTGGACGCTGTTTGAAAGTGGCGGTTGACTGTCAGTGGACACTGTTTGAAAGTGGCGGGCTTCCTTTGAACGTTGGGTCCCGCCACTATTGAGTCGCTGGTACCTAGTTCGACTCGCTGGTACATCGTTCGACTCGCTGGCGCAAAGTTCGATTCGCTGGTGCAACGTTCGATTCGCTGGCGCAACGCTCGGATCCAGCGATTCGCTAGCGAATCGCTCGATTCGCAAACTATGACATCGGCCTAAGGGGGACGGAATGAAAAGGGCGGGGGTGGATGGGTATGTCGTTGACGTGTATCAAAATTAGAGTGTATGAGAACACGGCGACAAATTGTTATGATTCTCAAAATCCATCCTCCAATGTTCACCCCCGCGTAACGACGAAAAAGCAAAAACCTGTGTAAAAACCTGCTTCTTAACTAAAGTGCAACAGAACTGTTAAACACAGAAACTGGTTGGACGACGAAATAATAACTCTCAAAAGTGAATAAGGAGTTCAGAGCTTGCAAAAGGTTCATTTTCACAATAAGGCCAGCCGGCCTGGGGTTTGGCTATTCCATGACGATATTAATACATCGATATCACTACAGCTAACATATACGATCGCTTGAGTATGGAAATCGCCTATGAAACGAGCAACCAACAAGTAACTAACCAGTGACCAAATGTCGAGTTACGCCAACTTCACCCATTTTTTCAAAATTGGGATCTCTTCAGATTTCCAGTTCAGTCTTCTAGAAGCATGGATACGTGCAGAAAAAAGTATTTATGATGCTGAGTCAAATTCATCTTCTTTATACCAATTCGTGACAACAGCGGTCACCCGTGGCTGCCATTCGGGGCACTGGCATCCACCTTTGACTGCCGGGTTGCTACGGGGAGTTGGAGGTTTTCCTTCATGGCAAGAACCTTCATACCCTTATTCTACCCAGCCCTGGGCAGAGAAAATCACTCAAAATCAAAGAAAAACCAAAAAAATAATGTAACTATCAATGGTGAAACTCATATCTTTCTCCGGATTCTCACACTGACCAAACTCAATACTGATATGAGGCTTAACAGAGTAAAAAAGATTGAGGATAGAAATGGGAAATTTAAGATTAGATCAGATTAGACATGAGAAGGTTCAAAGCTCCAATTACTATTAGAGCCACGTATTCAAAAATGGATACCAACGCGGTCGGTTAACCTACTCAAAAATAACAAGGACAAGTCGAGACAAAAATGACCCGGAACTAAAGGTTACGCTATCCCTTGTTCAACATCAAAGCAATGTTTGTTCTTCCAACTTTGATGTCCATTTAGCTCCCTTTTACAAACACAAATTCTACGAACCCTGATCCATCAGAATGCCCTTGAGAAGATTGAAAGACCAAGCCGAACCACTGATCACAATACTCTAACAATTCTGAATTGATGTTGGGCTAGAGTCTCATTCCAAAAAAATGGTCAACGTTATGCACTTATCAAGGTTGCTCATGCAAACGCCACAAGTTACAATTAAAAACAATAGAAATAGACAATAAATAGATAAATAAATATAATGCACGAAAATGAGCGCGCCTTGAAAATAAAGAGCAAATCAAGTTACGTATTGGTAAAAAGAACGATAAATCGTACAAAAACTCCACTTACCGATTTCTGTAGCCTATCCCAGGACACGGTCAGGTCAAAAACGCGACCATTGCCAGTCACTAGAGCAGTTCGATTAATATTGTGCAATAAATCCATACGTACATGTTCACGTGTAGCATCCTTAAATGGTCTACTTGAACACATCGAAGAGCTGCAATCTGAAATAACTTACCTTGTAGGTAAATCCTAGGAGACCCGTTATTGTTTGAATAAATGCGAGCAGAATGACAAACCCAATATACTGAAAAGAGGGCATCTCACTGAATTTGAACTAGCTGAAAAAAAGTTGGGGTCTATTCCAACGGAAAAGTTGCTGTGCAACAGTGTGCTCCAACCCCAGCTTTGCTCAAGATGGCCGAGGAATTGACGCCGTGGTAGCGGCTATCTACTCTTTTGCTCCTCTACGTCTTCTTCACGAGGCCAGACACTCAGGGTTGACGCTCAAACTATTGCACATGAGAAGAAGGCAACATTTTGAGCAGCACACCTGAGTTACGCCCACTCACCCTCCCTCACCATTCCTTGAGTTGCCCTCATTCTCCCTTGCTCCCGTACTTACCATGACTCCCACAACAGATCCAGAAGGGGATGAATGCCATGCAGTCCTTCATTACTACCCGATTCTTTTGATTCTTTGTATGATTTACGAAATAAATGGAGCGAAGAAGGAATTATGAGCCTGAGGATGAGCACTTTTGGAGGCCTAAGGGTATGAAGGTGAGGAATTCCGGAGAACATCCATTGCTCCCACACCCCTCCCTCTTTTAAAGCGTGATCCCAAACGCTTTTATTTGAGGAGAACGCACCTGTTCTGAATGCACTGTGCGCTCTGCGCACCAGTCCCACCCCACCCCCCTCTACTGGAATAGACCCGAAAACTTCAAATGCTAAATACCGTATATAAGAGGCGTTGATTATACGCAGTAGCACTGATGAATCCAACCGTGCATATAATCCATACTGCAACTCCTGTGGAGCAACACAGACCGGCAGTAGAAAAGGCTAGATTGAACAACGACATTTCATAAAATTGCTGTTACGAAAAAGAAAGTAAAGTGACACTGATGAGTAGAAAAATCTAGACATGGGTGCGGACATACTTTGCAATCGTCTTGCTGTCGATTGTGGAGTAGATACGTATCGATGGTGCCGATCACATGATCGATACGTTATCTACTCCACTCTCAAACTACGAATGAAGTGCAAGGCGGTCTCAAAGCATAACCACACCATAGGCGTTAAAAGAATGCGACAAAAAAACCAACCAGAAAATGAGGATGGCGTCAATTCGTGAAAATCCGTCCTCTCGAGGTAGAGCCAGATACCCACACCGAGGGAATATACACCAATTGTCTGAAAGAAAAACCAGTGAGCACAAGAACTAACCAAAAATAAGTTTCTGAGAACTGAAAGGTGAGCCAATCGTAATAAGGTCCCACAGCGAATATTGTCAGCGTAGCGAGAAAAAGGCGTCTCTTGGTGAGGAATTTAAACTTGATCTTATCAAACACGCCAAGCATCCTGAAAAAGTCAATCAGTTGGAATTTCAGAGAGTAATACAAAACTTTGTTTAGCATATGACTTTGCCCCGGCAAAAGGTTGTTTACTGTGGCCGTAGGTCCAGTAAACTAGCACTGAGTGAAGATGCAATTCTATCAATGGATTCAAAAAACACATTTCTTATTTGAAAGAGTTACGTTGTAATTAGTACGATTTTTATAAAGTGATGACTATTCAGATGACCGCAGACATGTTTCCAATCAATCTGTATTTTTTCAGTGAACCGTGAACATTCGGGTGTGGTTCACTAGGACAGAAAGCGAATTCTCCGCTTTTCGCGCGCGAAACTTTCTTCGCGGTAGGAATCCCACGTCCTCCCATAATCAGCGGTGGACCTGAGGTGCCTGCCGCGA